GCTCCTTTTGAAGGATGCGCTGGTGGTGGGGGGTGGGGGGTCAGACAACAGGTGCTTGGCCATGAGTCCCAGCCCAGCTCCCCATGCCAGGTGCCCTGCTCACTGCCCCCGTGGGCACCGCTCACCAGGAGGCACTGGATAAGGTCTGGAATCTGAGTGAATTTGTAGCTCTGGGTGCCATCCTCCTGCCTGAGAGCTTTCGTAAGCATGATGGCCGCTGAGAGGAAGCTGGTTTTCAGGATGTCGTCCTGTCCGTGCAGAGTCACGGACGCTCAGCAGGGGGTCCCTTGTCCCTCCTGCCTCCCCCGCACAGCCCAAGCACCCGCCTGCTCAGAGGCCGGGCGGCCCCCGTGCGCACGCAGACGCCCCATGCCCCTGCCGCCCGAGCCAGGGCCGGGCTCACGTAGTAGCTGCAGGAGAAGTAGTAGACCATCCTGGAGATGATGTTGTCCACCCAGGGCAGGATCTGCTCCCGGGCGTGCAGGGCCATCTGCCCGTAGCACAGCAGACACGTGCTGCTGACCCACCTCCAGTGCCTGTCAGGGTCTGGCTGCTGTGGACAGGGAGCTAGTCGGTCCCACACTCTGGTGCCAGCCCTCCCCGGGACGCTCCCAGCTCCCTCGCCCCTCCAGTTGGAGCTGCCGCCTCTCCAAGCAGGCCAGGGCCTCTGAGGGTCTCCCATGCGTCCGCTCTTCCCAGCGAGGAGCCGAGGACCAGCAAAACACAGGGGCTCCGCGCAGACCCGCAGGGGAAGTGCCCTGGTGAGGAAGCTGGGGTCAGGGCAAGCCCATGGTCCCCAACCGTCAGACCCCCGAGGCTCCGGATCACACGTGTGGGGCCCCAGCAGCCAGGCTCACAAGGGCCAGACCACAGCAAGAACCTAGACAGTCTGAGAGCCATGCACCGACCCCTCAGGGAGGCAGGCAGGGCAGCGCCCACGTTTCTAGCAAGCAAACGGAAGCTCGGGGCGCCCGCCAGACGTCTGCAGGTCCCAGGCCCTCCTGCCCGCCGGCTGCCCACTCTACCGGGCACTCTGGGGACGTGAAGGCGGTCCTCAGAAACCTGGTGCGGCCCAGGTGCTCCAGCAAGGCCCATACCGCCTGCAGGTGTGAGGAGGACGCGATGCCGATGGTTGCCGAAATGCCCTGTGGGGCCGGAGGAGCCCATGAGTTGGTCCCCATGTGGCTGCGTGGGGTGCACTGCCGTCTCCTGCCCACGCCTCCCATGGGCCCTACAAAGGCAGGCGGGGAGCCCATCCCGGGCCTCAAGGGCACGCACCCCACTGTGGCCACCAGGTCAGGATGAAGCCAGGCCACAGCTGCCATCAGTCCCAAGGTCACAACCAGGCAGGCTCTGCGCCGGGCGCCCCCTGTTTACCAGCACAGTGCTGGGTGCTGTGGGAGTCGCACATCGGGGGTGTGGAGAGCCGAAAGGTCAGGCACCCTGAGTAGCAAGGCCCGTGCTGGGGACTCAGGGCCCCCCGGGGTCCGAGAGCGGCAGACCCACCTCCCGCTGGCTGCTGGACTGGTGGGACAGCTCCAGGAGGTCCTCCAGGTGTCTTCTCACTAGCTCCTGGTCGGTAGTCTCTCTGAGGATCAGCCCAAAAACGCGGAAGAGGAAGGCCTGGGAGGAGGAGGGATGGAGCAGGCATTGGAGCAGGCATTGGGCTGGCGGCAGGGCGTGGGGCAGCCGCCCCCACTGGGTGAGGGGTGAAAGACGTTGGGGAGCACTCCCGGCTGCTGGGCCCACTGCCTGTGTGAGACTGGGGGAGGCGCGTGGGGTCATCGCAGCTCCTCCCCCACCCCCACCTGGCTTTGCTTTCCAGCTGGGCCTGGGGTGCTGTCCCTGTGCCCAGAGCTTCAGATCATGACACTCCACACGTAGTGAGTGGGGCCGGGGTGGGGGGGGTTCAACAGCCACGTGCTCCACTACAGTCAGAGCCTCATGGGGGTCTCAGAGACCACAAAGGACACCCTGGGCAGCATCACCCAGGACTGACCTTCTCCAAAGGCTGCTTGAGTTCCAGGTTCAAGGGCGCCAGGAGCTCCTGAATGCCAGTGTCAGCCACCTCCTTCCAGATGAGCTGCAGGCAGAACACAGGGCTTGGGCCCCACCCGCCCCGCCCCACCCCAGGGAGCTGGACACCAAATCCATCAGGAATCCCCAAGGATGGTGGTCACCTGTGGGTGAGCAGGGAAGACAAGCTACTGCCAAAAGGTAAGGAGAGATTTGGGGGTGCTACCCTCCAACAACCCACTAGGGCACTTGCTTCAAGTGTGATTCTGGCCATGTCTACTTCTCCTTGATCCCTGGCAATCCCCTACCTGTAGGACAGAGGCTGGTGGGCCCCTGATGGCCTGGTCCTGCTGGCATCTCCTGAGAGCGCTCCCCCGGCCTCTCCTGCCACCATCTTGCCAGCCTCAGGGGCTTTGCACAGACTCTTCCCCACTGGCTGGATTTCCCCTCCTCCCTGCCTGTGAGCAAGAGTCCCTGAGCCTGGGCTGGCCTTCGGCCAGATTCCGGGTCCCGAAGCTGAGCTCTCTATGTGCTTGGAGCCGTCTCCCTCTGTGGGCACCCGTCCTGAGGCAGAGGGGGGTGTCCTGCAAGGGCGAGCGGGTCTCCCAGAGTCCCACCTGGGTTTGCTCCTTGATGCAGTGGTGGATGGTGTCCAACACCACGTTCTTCTCCAAGACAGACATGGTCCTGATTTTGTCGACGAGGGCTTCCTCCTGGAGCAGCCTGTCTTTCAGGGGCTCCTCCAAGATCGCCCTGCCTGGCTGACCTGCAGACCGCAGAGAAGCAGCCCTGTGTCGGGGTGCCAGAGAGAAGCTGCACCCCCAGTCCTGGCTCTGGCTGGGCCTCTCAGTCACGCGGCCTGAGCGACTGTCTTAGCAGTGTGTCTGCGTCTGCGTCTGGGGAGAGCAGTGGGAAAGCAGCCGGCCAGAAGGCAGGCCAGAAACGCAGAGGGCAGACGCCTCTCGGGCCAGGGCGCCGGGTCACAGCCGGGAGGCCTGGCCGCCTGCCGAAGCCAGCCCCCCAGCAAAGGGAACACGCCTCGTGACAGGAGTGCCGAACTCCAGCCCAAGAGAACGGGGACCCAAAGCTCGTCATTGGAATAAAAACTTAGGTCCCTACTGTACTTGTGACACCAGAACAACCAGCAGGCAGTGACGATACTGGAATTTCTAAATGGCAACTGCAAACGCACTGAGCAGACTGGGCTTTGCTATTAGAGAGATTCTCTGATACTCTCGTATTCTCTCCCAGAGGAGAGAAGGGCTCTCTCAGCGGGATACAGAGACCGAAAGAGAGAGTTTTCGGGCCAGCGACACAGTCAGCACAGCCCGCCACGCAGGGGACGCAGAAAATATTTTTGCTGTGTGTACAGCAGGTCACTATTACTGCATGAGGACCTCTCCTACGACCGGAGACAGGGTGGAGAGGTGCCCAGAGGAGAGCCCGGCCGACAGAGAAATGAGAAGACGGGACCTCGCTGCTGCTGCTGCTGCTGCTGCTGCTGCTGCTGCTGCTGCTGGTGGTGGTTAAAGAAACGCAAATTAAAACCACCAGAGACGGGGCGCCTGGGTGGCTCAGTGGGTTAAAGCCTCTGCCCTCAGCTCAGGTCATGATCTCAGGGTCCTGGGATCGAGACCCACGTCGGGCTCTCTGCTCAGCAGGGAGCCTCCTCCTCCTCTCTCTCTGCCTGCCTCTCTGCCTGCTTGTGATCTCTGCCTGTCAAATAAATAAATTAAAAAATCTTAAAAAAAAAAAAAAAAACCACCAGAGACAGGAGGTTTGTGTCATCGAGGCCAGGCTGGAGGGGGGCAGGGTGAGAAGTGAGGGCATTTTCCCACCACCAGAGCAAGAAGGGGCAGGAATTCGTCCTCTTCAGAAGAAAATTTAACAACAGGTCTCAAGCATAAGTAAAAATCACCTTCAAAGCCACTCGGCCAAGAGGCTTCCTGTCTCAGGCCCCAATACAGCCTGGGAGCGAGAACCGTGAGAGCAGGTTTCCAAACGCTCTAACACTTTGCAAAGGTAATCGATACTCCTTTGATCAGGAAAAAAGAGGCGGGAGCGAAGCCGGGGCCCCCCAGGAGTGGAAACAAAGTCAGGCCTTGGGTCAGGTGTCGCGGGCCGGGAAGCGGGCCGGGAAGCAGCGTCACCTGCGGGCTCTGCCCTCCCAGCCACGGCGTGCCCCACAGTCTCGGGCCTACTGGTGTGTCCCAGCACACCCACTCGGGGGCCCCCCACCCCAGCTGACACCCACAGCCAGGGTCACTGCTTAAATCGAGAGCCAGGCCCAGGCTGCCTGTTAGGCGGCCTCACAGGTGGCACCGCCCCCTGCCCGCTGGACCCGCCTGTCCGGCTATCCTTCTGCTCCTTCCTTCATTCAGTAGAAGTTTGTTGAAAATCTGCTATTTGCCTGACACCGGAACCACAAATAACCGCAAAATGCTTGCGTTTACAGCACTCTCAAGGGTCTGGGCCCTAGAGCAGGCGGGAGACCACCCGCCACTCCCTTCCCAGGGTCATAGGAAGGGCAGCGCTGAAGGGGGACGCCGGGTGTCCCGCCTCCTGTACCTGCACCCGCAGGGCTGTGACCCTGACTTCGTAGGTACAGGGCCAGCTGTGGCCCTTCGCGTGGCCGCAGGCGGGCAGAGCGAGGCTCCAAAGCAAACCTTGACCACTGGGTAAGGCTCCAGAGACCCTGCCTTTCTAGAAGTTTCTGTCAGGTGCAAACGAGCTGACTCCACCCCCAGAAGACGTGAGACCCCGGCACCCTCGGTGCGGCCCTAGGCCCTGTGTCCCTGCCCTGCACAGAGCAGACGCTCAGACAGTGGACGCCGAGGGGCCTGAAATGAGGGAAGGGGTGCGCTCCAAGCCCGGGGGACTAGGACAGTGCCGACCAGAGACAGCCCAGAAGGCCCTTGAAGGCCCTGGACTCCTGCTCTCCACAGCCCCCTGCCCACCCTGCTCACCATTGTCCTGCTCCTGCTCCTCTGTGGGTGACAGGCAGCTGGACCTCCACTGGGGACAGTGAGGGTCATCGCTAGGAGCAGCAACCATGGACAGCGGCACCTCCTGGGAGCACAGGTCCTGGGGTGGGGACAGAGGGTAGGACCAGTCAGACCTGGTCAAGAGGGGCCAGACCGCACTGGGGCCCCCTGTCTCAGTCAGTCACCCCAACCCTACCAGGTACCCCCAGCAGGTCACCCAACACTATCAGGGGACCCCCACCTCAGTCAGTCACCCCGACCTTACTGGGGTCCCCGGGGGACATGGGAAGGAGGGAGGGATGAGGTTCCTACCTGGAGCTGACCTCCAAGGCCCTCCCACCTTACCAGGCCCCAGGCTCCCCTCCCTAGACCCTCTGGGATTCCGAGTCCTGGGATCGTGTGGCAGTGACCACTGTGCACACTGCTTCCCGCTGTCCGTACAACTACAGCTCAGGGGCCTGACAGAGGCGCCAAAGAAGCTTTAGCGTCTGGCCTGAGCTGGGGGGAGGTGTCATGTGCCCCATAGCAGCCTAGCCCTCCCCAGCCCTCACCACCCTCCGACCGTCCACACCCAGCCACCGTCCACCAGGCTCCCCAGCATGAGGAGATGGCGAGGGGCCTGGGTCTGGGGCACCTTCTCGTTCAGAGGGCCCAGGACAGGCCAGATTCTGCATTTCTAAGAAGCCTCCAGGTGCCCCCGATGCTGCCAGGCTGGGCTCAGGGGCCGCCTGGAGGCCCCACAGACCCTCTCTGGGCTGGACCTATGTAACCCAAATGCCTGCAGATAGACCTCCCTCAAGGCCCTGACCTGGGGGCTCTTCTTCTGAGAGAGGGTACCTCTGAGACCATGGCCACCCTAGGGCTCTGGCATCCTGTGGACTCCCTCCTGCTCCCCTCACCTCAACTCCCTGGGGCTCCCCAAAACTGTCCATTGGACCCCCAAAGGACCCTCACACCTCTCCTGAGCCCTGGCCTCTCTTCCAGCCTCTGCCGCAGGCCTCCCAGAAAACACGGCCTCCAGGGGGCCGTCTGGCCCTTGCCCACCAGCCCTCACCCGGCACCCTCCCCTCCGGAGGCAGGGGGCGGTCTGCACCCCAAAGCCCCAATGTGTATGGGGATGAATGAAGGCACGCAGACCCATGAGTCTGTGCCTGCGAGTGGATGCACCCAACGGCGAGCCGAGGAAAGCGGCCAGCCTCTCCCTGAGCAGCGGGCACCTGGGCACCTGGGCTCTTTGCCCCCCGCCCCGGCTCGGTGCCAGCGAAGACATGGGCACCAGTCTGGTGTTCATGAGTCAAACCTGTGTCTCGGGACCTCGTGCCCCTGTGAGTCTCCCTGCTCCTTCCCTCTGGCCACCTTTCTGCCCTCACTCGACAGATGTCCGGGGGTCCCTCTGCCCCAGGCCTGGAGGGTATGACAACTGACAAGTTCAGCCCAGTCCTGCCCTCTGTCCCAAGCCACCCTCGGCCAGGCATCCCCCACATCCCAATGTCGGACCCAGACTTCTCGCTCAGACACTCCAGTGCCCTGTTCCTTTCGGGGCCGCATCAGCCCCTTCCCTCCCCGCCCCGGCTGAGCTGGCTGTTCCCTCAAGTGGGGCCCCTGCGACTCCTTCCCGATCCCAGTAGACCCCACTCTTGCTCTGGCGTGACTTGTGCTGACCTGTTCCCGAGGGCGCCTCCCACACAGGTGCGGGTCCACACGCAGACCCCCGTGGCCTGTGCTCCGGCTAAGGGCTCTGGCTGGGTGTTGACGTGTTTGGAGAAGACAGTTTTCCCTGGATGTTGAACCCCCTTCTTGCAAATTGGTCCCCCAAACCCTCTTCATGCTTAAGACAAGGGCCATAGTCATCCATTCCAAGCCTGGGATGGGGCCGGGCTGCTGTCAGGGACAGTGGAAGAAGCCTGGACGGGTTTCCTGGAGAAGGTGAGGTGAGACCCCAAAGTCAGAAAGGGGACAGTAGACCCGAAGAGGTAACGTTAGGGTGGCTCAAGGTAACCAAATCCCAAAGTGGATACTTTCGCCAGAGAGGGCAGAGGTCACCTGGGGAGGCAGCTGGAGGAGGGGCGAGGGCGGGTCATCCCTCCTCCTGCAAGACCCCGCCTCTCCCTCCACCTCTGCCAGATCAGTGACCACCTGGCTCCCTGCTGCCCACACACCCCTCCATGCCGGGTCCCCTCAGCTTGCAGGCCTCAAGCTCTGGCCCCCCCACTCCGTCCACCCCTGCGGGGGTCCCCAGGGAGGCGGGGGCGGGGGGGGCGGCAGCCTGCAAAACTGCTCAGGCATCCGGCAAGTCAACTTGGCAATGAGGGTCAGGCTCGTCCCAGAAACGCATATGAAAGATGTTATTCACCCATAAACATTGTTTAAAAGGTCACCGAAGACAACAGCCCCGAGGGGTGTCTGCCAAGACCCCCAGAGTACACAGTAGTTGACTGGGAATCCTGCTGCTGGGAATCTAATCTACAGAAAAGTGAGAGATGCTTGAACGACTCAGGACTCAAATATGCTTCCTGGGTTTAAAAAAGCCAGACTTGGGGGCATCTGGGTGGCGCGGTTGGTTAAGGGTCCGACTCCTGATTTCAGCTCAGGTCATGATCTCGGGGTCCTGGGACGGAGCCCTTAGTGGAGAGTCTGCTTTTCCCTCTCCCTCTGTCCCTCCCCCTGCTCACACTCACGTGCACACTCTCTCTCCCAAATACATAAATAAATCTTTTTTTAAAAAGCTGTGCGTGGTCAAAACCAGAGGAAGGAAACTGCGGGCAGGGGTTAAGGTCATGTTCGTAAAGACTGTCCCATGGTGTGGGAGACCGCTTAGGATCCCACGTGGAGTCCCGAAGTCCTAGGATTCTCATGGAAAATTACAAGCGGTCTTGGGTGCAGGGTTCAGGGGGCTTTGCCCCCACGCCCCCTCACTGGGGTACAGCCCATCTGTGGCGGGCCCAGCCGACCCTCTTTGGAGACAGAATGCCCACTGAAAACCGAAGGCAGTGCAGGGTAGAACAAAGGTAAGGACAAGACAGGTCAGTGGACACTACCTGGGGTCCTGAGGGGGCTGGGCCAGCTCCAGAGCGGGGCAGGGAGGGCTGCACGGGGCACTCTGCCCAGGTCTGAGGTCCAGGGAGCCTGAGAAGACAGGGAGGGTCAGGCCTTGGAGCAGCCTATGTCGGCTCATGGCGTCGGGGGTGGGGGAGAGCGGGACGCAGCCCCTCTGGGCGAACCAGGGCATCCTTTGGGCCTCTGAGGCCCTGGGAGACAGTGCGCCCAAGGCCACTCTGCCTCTCAAGTCCCCGAGCGTCCTGCGGGAGGCCAGCCGCCATCAGACAGTGCAGGAGGTGTTCTCTGAGAAAGGATGTGGACACGGGCTGTGTTCTCGATGAACAGCCGCCAGGGGACAGTTTGAGGACAAATCTGAGTTCACAGGGTCCCGAGAAAAGCCAGCCAGAGGCGATGCGAGGGGCCTCGTGCCACATGGTTCGTGGGGGCCAGGGTGCCCCACTGAGCTGGGGAGCACCCAGGAAGGACGGAGGGGTAGGTCCAGCCAGGGACTTACGACTGGTGGGCTGCCGCTCAGCTGGTTATGGGCACCTCCAAGAGACGCCGCTATGAGTCACGAGTCCCTGTCTCCAGGGCTCACTGGGGACTCGTCTCCTGAGAAAGTGAGTCTGTGAACCAAGGTTCTCCTGGGGGCCCTGTCCCCAACAGCCACGCAGGCCTGAGAATTCCGTCCTCCAACTGACACCTTGGGCAGTTGGGCCCTCACCGTGCACAAGGCCGTGATTTCTGCTCTCCGAGGCCAAGAGGGACCCCAGGCTGGACGCTGACCCAGACAGGCCTTGGGACAGTGGTGCCACCCTGGCTCACGGCAGCCACCCCAGAAGGCAGGACCTGCACCACCCCAGGCGGACTCCCCAGGGCTGCCAGCCAGGCCGGGCTCCAGGGGCTCTTTTCTGGAGAGACCTGGGCTTGTGCTGCCGGAACCATGGAGACCCTTGGGGGTGCGTGTCCCCCGCACCGTCACACAGGTGCTGCCCGCCTGAGTTCATTCCTGGCTTTGGGCTCACAGGGTCACCGGGTAGTGGTCTCTGACCCAAGGTGGCTGTGCTCTCAGCTCCTGCAGCCAAGGACCATGCACCCCAAGGTGCAGAGAATATAAAATGGGTCCAGACTTGCCGCTACCTGTCCAATGGCGTATTCGCTGACATTCCCCCGTCATGCACACTGCGACCAGAGGGCACTCGGGGGCTGAGCTGAACCACCTGCCCTTGAGGGGGCCTCTGGGGAAACGGAGCCCCTTCCTGGTGTAGGGACCCTCCTCCTGCCTCACCACCCCCCAGGGCAGATCAGGGACAGAAAGCCAGCTCTGGCCTGGCAGACCAGCCGTCCCCTCCCCCTGGGGCCTCGGGCTGACCCCCCCCCCAGGACCTGCCGGCCACCAGCAGGGTTTATCCCTGTAGTTTTCCTGGGGGTTGGGCCAGAGGAAATCCTGTTGAGAGAGAAAGACCGCTCCTCCTCCGATGAGCTCAGGGTGAGGCCCAGAAGGTGAGGCCAGTGGGCGGGAAGCAGGGGTCCCAAAGGATTGGGCCCCAAGGAGCCTGGGGGGTGACCCCACAAGAGGGTCACTGGGGAGGTTTTCACCGTAAGTGCCATCGGAAGGTGGTCCCCTGGCTTGGAGAGAACGGGGACCCTGGGGCCTGTGGGCAGCTGGCCTGAGGCCTCCACCTGGGGGCCCATCTCAGAGCCATGTGTAGAGAGAAAGCCTGGAATAAGCTCCCCACCCCCCTGGGACCGGCAGCCACCACCTCGGTGGGCGTGTTGGAAGCTGCAGCCAGGAGGGACTGTGCTCGGAGGCCGGTGAGTGGCGGAGGGTGCTTCTCTCTCCGCCGCCCATCACGCCCCCCTGCTCCCTGACAGGACCGGTGGGGCTGGTGGGATAGGGTGGGGGGGCACCCGACACAGCCCTGCCCGGGCTCTGGGGCACTGTAGGGTCACATGAAGTGCTTTCCCAAGCCCCACGACCCCTCTGGATCTCCACAAGAAGAGGGGCCGGAGCGGACCCCGGGGTGCGTCGGGCGGGACTTGTGAGAGGCTCAGCACCCCTGTGCCACCATTGGGTGGGGCCAGAGAGACCTTCAGGCCGTGGGGGTGATGTGACTCTGGAGGGACGTGGTCACCCAGGGGCAGTTCTGAGCAGAAGTGGGGAGGCACTGGGGCACTGGGAACAGGCGGGTCCCCCCCAGCCGAGGGGTTTGGTGCCCCCAGGCCTGTGCTCAACGGGTATGCCCCCCAAGGCTGGCAGCATGGTCGGGGGGGGTGGCTAGGGAAGGCCTCATGCTCCCCGAAGGCTTTTCCCCAGGCCCTCAGCCCAGCCTGGAGGGCACGTCCTGGAGAAGGAAGAAACGGGGACTGGGGAAACTGAGGCCTGACTGCAGTTGGAGAAGAGGGTTTCAGGACAGGAGTGGCCCATTTCCCCAGGAGCTCGCAGAGGGCCTAGCTGGAGACAAAGTCTCAGGGGACCCTGGGGACTGAGCTGTCAAGCTCCAGCCCAGCTGGGGTCGGAAGTCAAGCAGTGACCAGGACTCAAAGGGCAATTTCTAGACAGGGGAGTGTGGGTGTTGTGATGCATCCATTGCCCTGTGGTTGGGACCAAAGATCTGAGGAAGCAAGAGAAGGCCCTCATCCCAGCGTGGGCGCAGAGTCTGGTGCAGCCCGGGAGGGCTTCTTGAAGGACGCAGAGAGGGACAGAGGAACCTGGGTGCTCTTGGGGGTACCATGGTGAGAGGAGGGGCAGGGATGCACACACAGGTGGGGCATCCTGGGGGGAGTGACAATGGCGGCAGTGGGGATCAGGGGAGGGGACGAGGGTGGGGTCGGGCGAGGACCCCAGCTGGAGCAGTGAGGCTTAGCGGAGACAGAAGGCGGTGTGGCTGCTCAGCGGCAGGGGTGGGGTGGGAGATGGAGTCAGGTCCCTGGTGCAGGGAGGGGTGTGGGGTGATTGGGGGGGCAAGCGGGCCGAGGGGTGAGGACAGGCCCTGTTGTGGCCAAGGTCACGTCCCTGACCTTGCCCTCAGTTCCCCAGCACACACCTGTCATGGCTAGAGTTGGAAGCCCAGAACCCGGTGAAGAGAAATCTAGATTTACAGCCAGACAGAGCAGCACGGGGCACCCGCACCCCCATCCGGAGTTGCCCTGAACAGCCTGAGCCCTTGGGTCACATGGGGGGTCGGGGAGCCCAAGCTGCTCAAGTCCCAAGGGGCCGGTTCTGTCTAGGCCTCCCACTGTGCTCGCCAGTCTCACCAGGACTCTGCTCCATGCCGCCCAAGTTGCCCGAGATCCACACGGGGGCTGGGGGAGCCGGGGAGGCAGGGCAGCGGGGACCGCACTGTGTCAGATGGACGGATCCCTTCCTGGGCGGGGGAGAGGTGGGAAGGGAAAGACAGGCTCCTCTGAGTCCTGTTACAGCCCACGGCTCCCCACGACAGGCTGTCACCGTCTGACTCATTCACTTATTCAAGCAGATGAAAACTGAAGCCCAGAACGTACTGTCCCCCATCAGCTCGGGAAAGGAAGAAGGTGTGACCGAGGCAGGCTGTGTCCTGGGGGCTAAGCCGGGTAGGCAGACAGACGCACAAGCAGTCTCTCCAAAGGGCAAGGGCCCCGTGGAAACCGTCCAGTTCTGCCTGGGAGAATCAGGGCAGGCCTCCTGGAGGAAGGGGCATCTGAGCTGGGGCCTGAAGCACAGGTAGGAGTTCGCCAGCTGGCGAGGAAGGGAGAGGTATTGCAGCGCACAATGGGAAACTGCCTATGAAGGCACAGAGCAGGCTCCAGCCAGGGTCAGGGCAGGGGTGTGGTGTGCAAGAGCAGAGCCCAGGGGAAGGAGGTATTTGCAAAGGGGAGCTTGGCAGAGGTGGGGGGGTGGGGGCGTGCTCACGTGGCCCACACAGCAGGGGGCTGCGGGCTGGTATCCTTGTTAAACGCAAGGCTTTGGATTCGGGTTTTGCCTTTGGTAACAGGGAGCCCTGTGAGGTCCCAAAGTGGCAGGAGCAGGGTCTGGGAGATAAGAAGACAGTGTCTGCTCTCCACCAGACTCTGGACTTCCAGGCTCCACCAAAGGCCTCAGCAACACTGTCCCACACTCTCCTCCCAGGTTGGCTACTGCTCCCACCCCCACAGACCCCAGCTGCCCCCACTCCTCCACCCTGATTCTCCAGGGTCCAGCAGGGCCGGAGGGGGCCGGGGATGGAGAAGCTGGGGAGGGACATGGGCGTGGGGGCTTCCAGATGCCCACAGCCAAACCACCTGGACCAAGGCTCACACCTCCTGTAGTCAGCCCGACTGTGGCCTGGTCCCAAAGGACCCCTCCTGCTGCAAGCCTGGGCTCAGATCTGGTCCTCCCCCATGTGCTGTGTGGCCTTGGGCAGATTACTGAGGCTCTCTGGGCCTCGGTTTCCTGTAGAGCAGCTCCTGCTGCCTAGGGCTGTGATGAAGGTTGACTGAGCATCTCCGTGTAAAAGGACCCTGACCGCTGACCGCTGACCACACTGGGGCGGGAGCAGCAGGAGAAAGACAGCAGAAAAGTGAGGCCGCCTGGAGGGGAGTGGGGTGCGGATCCTCAGGGCACCCCCTAGGAGGGCTGGCAGCAGGGAGGGGCCAGGGAAGGAGATGCTTGAGGCAGAAGGACTGGGAGCCCAGCACAGCCCAGCGAGTGGAGGGAGGGAACAGAACACGCCGGGCACAGAGCCCAGCGGCCGTCCTCTCCGACGACTTTCCCGGCTGCGGCTCGAAGCGGCGCCCCCACGATGATTTCTTTGCCCACTGGCTGCAACGTCCTTCTGTGCAGTCTGGCCCCATTCAGCGCTCTCTCTCTCACAGGAGATTTCGAGAAGCCTGGAATAACACAGAATTTGTCCTAGTTTTCTGGCAACACTGTGAGGCTCCGAGAGTGTGTGTTGAGTGAATGAATGAGTGAGAGAGTAAATGAGCAGGAGCAGCGGGCAGCGGGAGTGTTCGGGGCCCGCGATGGGCTCAGGGCCCAGCTTCCAAGACCTCCCTGCCTCCCCCCTGCTTCCTCCTTCCCCCACTCCCTCCCTCCTCCCCCCTGCCTCCGGCTCCACCGACAGCCCCCCCCATCCCCCCACCGCAAGCCATGGCCAGCTGTGTCAGGTAGGCCCTGGTGGCTGCACCCTGTCAGCTAGGCCAGCCTTAGCCCTGCCCTGCTCTTCCCTAGTGCCCCCTGCCCACATGTCAGAGCTGGGACTGGGGGCTAGGCCTGGCCTTGGCCACAGGCCAGCTGCTAGCCTTCTGCTCGGTGTGGGGCTGGGGCACTCTGAGGGCATGGCCAGCTGGGGGCTCCCTCCAGGGGCCCAGAGGGCTCTGCACCTCCCAACCATGGCTGCGGCCAGCCCCTGCCCTTTGGAGGTAGCCTGGAGCAAGGAAGGAGAGAAGCTTAAAAGCAGCCAGGCAGAGTGGCCAGCCACGATAGCAAGGGTCACACGTGGGCTGAGCGGGATGGCAGTGGGCACCGACTGTGTCTGCCCCAGTTAGAATTCCAGCCAGCTAAAGTTAACTCCGGCCCAGCAGT